AAAACAGCATAACCCTTATTTTGCTGTATTTGTCCTCATATCACTATTGCCACCTGATCCAATGTAAGTATTGGCATATGTACGGATGAGCTTTCTTGCACTAGAAAAGCATTTTTACAATTAAAGGTTTTTCTCCTTGATTCAGCAAGGTGGTTATAGAGAAATTTAATATATATTATTCCTGAAAGGGTAAAAAAGAGACTTGCAAGCAGATTACACTTTGTGCCTTTTGAAGTTTTAAACATAAAATTTATATTTTCTGATAATAAAATTCACTTTCTGTTCATTACAGAAAAACTGAAAAATACAGAGAGAAAAAACTTTAGTCGACTATCATCCCATCACTCAGAGACAACCATTATTAACCTTTTAAATCTTAAGGTTAATAAAGTTTACTGTAGTCTTTATTATGTTATTTATTATGTTCACTTTTATTAACCTTTAACACTTTTTCCCAATACATATTTTTTATAATGAGATCATTCTAATTTATACAATATTTTTTCAAATGCAATATATGCATTTTCCATATTGTTAGAAATCTTCATAAATAGTATTTTAATAATGGCTTAATAGCAAATCAAAGAGATGCAATAATCAATCTTTCAAAAAACTGATTAATAATGAATCTAATTACTTAGGCTATTTCCATTTATTTACTTTTATGTGTCTCTGAATTTTAAAAGAATCAGTCTGTAATTCAACTTCTGAGAATGGTTCTGACCATTGAGAATATGCAGAGGCAACTTTTCCATTTGAGAAGGGGAAAAGCTCCCACTAGTATTCAAAGAGATGAAGTCTTTCCTTTTCCTCGAATAACCTTTCAGTGTAGAAATTAGCTGGAGTCATTCAAGTTTCACCCACAGTAAGGAAGGGAGGCCGTGAAAGTCTACGAGTAGCTTGGAGTAAATAGACCCAGGCTCATATCTTGGTTCTTACATTTATTTGCCTTAAACCCTCAGGGAATTATGTATATAAAGCCTTGGTTTCCTCATCTGCAACCGGACAATCACCTCACAGTGTTGCTGAAAGTGTTTAAAATGAGAAAACATTTGTAAACAGCACTGAAACTGGCACAGAGTAAATGGGCCTTCTTGTAATTGTAAAACTTCGATGGGAGAGCAGGGAGGACATCATTTTTATTCCCTATAGAGTATACTCCAAGTTCTCACCTCCAGCCTCAGAAGCAAGAACTTTAGGTTACATTTGTAAACTCACACACAACAAGGCAGTTTGATTTCTGACAACACTCTGAGGTAGGAGAGTTTCAGGGTCTCCCCGTTCTCCCGGGAGTTCCTCCCCACTGACATCTCCCTGCCTCTAGCTACAGCTGCCCTCAGTGTGGTTCAGTCCCTTGACAACATCTCCTTCCTTTCTCTCTCTTACTGACTTTCTGATATGAGCCCTCCCCAAACCCACCTTTCCAACCTGACTGTCAGACTAGCTTTCCAATAACACTAGTCTGGTCTTCTAAATCCTGTTCAGTTTACTGATTTCTTGTTTACCAATGCCATCGAATCCAAAATTTTAAAAAATGTGATGTTTTTCAGGGCCTCCACCACCACCTACCTATTCCCTCGTGCTTGCCTCCACTCTGCTCGTTCTGGTCCTTGCCCTGGTGTCCACCTTACCATCGGTAGTCAGAGCAGCCTAAGTTGACTGCAGATAAATCATATCTTTACCGGAAGATTTTGACCTTTGCCAAAGGGCAACTTCGAATCACTATCAGCTGTTCACATTTTAGAGGAAATGAGTTTTCAGATCTTGGGGGCTGAGGGGGGAGTAAATTATGGGTGGGTGAGGACATGAGGATCTCAGACACCATTAAGGGAGAAAGGTTATAAAATCTGGGGTTGACAGATCTCCCTTCTCAGTCTTCCCTGTCCCTTATCCCATTTCTCTCCTGCTTGTCCTTTCTGCGCCTCCTGCCCATTCTGTGAGGCGCCCAGGTGCCCAGGTCCCGTCCATTTCTCCTCCAGGCAGTCACAGATCTATACACTCTCTTCTGACCTCCCACAGAGCCCATGGTCTGTTCTCCCGCCCTCTCACTTATTAGTACATAGTGCCACCCTCTCCACATTGCTTTCTAACTTTTCCCATAAAGTCCTAGAGGACAGGGACTGTGCCTGCTTCCCACTTGGTAGCTGACGGGTAAATATGGGACCCATCTGACCGTTCACCCTACTCAGCGCCAGTCTACCGCGGCTTCAGCTTTAGCTCTGCTCACTTTGGTTGGGCAGCACTTTTAACTTTGGATAAGACGGGCATTCTGAAATGCTGTGCATACATCTGTCACCTACAAAGTAGGCCTCTCTACTGATATTAATAGAAAGAGACATCACTGACAGACACAAAAAAACCCATACTCAAAAAACAACAAAACCCATACCCAAAGAGTGCAAGTAAAAGTAGAACCAAATCCAAATAGAGAGGAGATGATTCCTCCTTATTTTAGGGCCTCCATGAAGGGAGGGAAGGGGAAACCCAAGTGGAGGGGAAACCATGTTTTTATACAGTATTACCTAATTGCATTCACTTTCATTGAAACTTTGATATCTGGGTCCACGGAAAAAAACCAGGATTTTCAGAACAAGGGTTGCTGAAATTCATGCTTTTCTCCAAAGAATTCATGGGCCTTTGTAACAATGTAAAGTCCCGTCGTAACAACCCAGCCCAATACTAGCCATGCAAGAGACCTCCAGTCCTTGAAGGTTCCAGAGCAGCCTCTGCTCCGCCC